AAAAAAATTCTAACAAAAATCAAGAATAACTACCTTCTACCACACTAAATTGCTATAAATGCAAAACTAAAGATATTCCAATCACATTATGTTCTACTACGGGGGATATTCAGTGCAATGACAGTAACACTCTTAGAAATTTATGAGGTACAATTGTAGCTAACAATGTATGCCCTAACACTAGCAGAAGTATTAAATAAAATTTAAGCTATAAGAGTTAAATACCTGGACTGCATTGAGTACTTTGGAGTGATAGACAGCCACAGGACATACAGGATGAGTGGTGTTCTGTGTACTTGGAACATCCAGAATTCCATTTTGCCAGTGACCGGATTGGGTTTCCCCATTTCTAAATGTGTACATTCCAAGCCCTTGCCTTCTACCCTCATGCCATGCTCCTTCATACCGATGCCCGTTGGCAAAACGATAGACACCAAAACCATGCATCTTGTCTGCAAAATATTCTCCAGCATATGTGTCCCCATTTCTGAAAATGAAAATTAGATCGTCGGAACCCAATAAGTGATAAAACGAATCAAATAATCTTATGTGTTAATATACTCAAAAACCATCCATAGCTGCACATAACAATATGTATTAATATACAACAATTAACCATCCATAGCTGCATCTAAAAATAAGCCTCCAATGTAATATAGGAGAGAGAATGGTATTATTCCTAATAACTTTGGCCATGTGGACAAATATTTGTCTATTAGGTTCATAACATGGAAAATGTAAATGCAAAGTGATAATTACTTACAACTCCAGGAAATATAATGACAGCATGATTTATGCAGCCAAATCCAAAAGAATTTAGGAAGGGCTAGATTTGTTAGCAATAATATAACTATTTCAAATGATACTAGTTAGCTCAAACATCAGAAATCCAATTACTGTATACCACCGTGTAGGGCCATCAACTATGCATTTCGAATTAAAAGAGACCCCAAATCTTAGTGCAAAGTAGCCACCACTGCAAATTACTAACCATGGCAAACCAATTCACATTCAAAGACCAACAAATCTAACACCAAAGTTTAACACGATATACCACAATCAAATCCAAAGTTAAAAAAATTACAGCAATTTAAAAAATTGTAATAAACAAAACAGAGTTTAACCTGAAATGGTAATGGCCAAGGCCGTGCTTGACACCCCACTTGAATTCCCCAACATAACGACTTCCATCTTCACAAGTATGAACTCCACAACCATGACTCTGGCCATTAGACCACTCTCCTCCATAAACATCTCCAGTATAAAACCTGTACACACCAAACCCGTGCCTAAGGCCCTGCCTATATTGCCCTCTATAACGGCTTCCTCTCGCCCAAGTCTCAACTCCATACCCATCGTATTTTCCATCAACCCAGTCCCCTTCATATCTCCCACTCATGTAATAATAATACACTCCACTCCCTGAACATTTCCCCTTGTGATATTCACCTTCATATACGTCCCCGTTCCTATAAACCTGCACCCAGCACCCAGAATTTACCCTTTTGTCCAATTTGGGGCGCGACCCAATAGACCAAAACACAGGTAAAGGGGGTTTAGTTATTGTAGGAGATGTGGCGAGCTTTATAGGGAAAGAACGGGCTAAGAACAAGCGAATTGAAGGTAATCGAGGGAGTGCAAGGTTTAAAGAGAATAATAAAGCTGCTGAGAAGGCGAAAGCCGATAGAAAATCCAGAAAAAAGGAATGACTAGGATTAGAAACCAAGAAATAAAAAAATGGAAGAGATAATAAAAGGATTAAACGAAGATGAACTCTAAGACGACGAAGGTGTTTAAAACGGCGAAGGAAACGAAAAGCAGCGGATTTAGCAGCAATTGGAAAGGAAATAAAAGTTTGGTTTTGTTGGTGAGAATTGAATGGAGGATTCAATTGATACAAAGTTGGGGATTTAGAAAGAGAGGAAGAATGTTGAGGACGTTTGTAAGGAGAAGGAGAAGGGGTAATAGGATCATTTTGAATCAAAATTTGAGGAATTCCTTGAATAGCAGTGGTGGTTTCAGATGAAGGTTGATGTTTTTGATGAATATTTGAAGGGAAAACAAATAGCGGTGGAGTAGGGTTGAAATCGGAAGAGACGCCAGTGCTTTCTTTTCCGATCTGTACTTCTGATTTCTTCTGATGCATTACATAACCAAACCAAACCCAATACAAACTTTGGCTTTCGATCGATCAATCAATCAATCAATCAATCCTTTGTGTGTTGTGAAGAAAGATAAATCTAAATTTTTGTATATAAATAGATGGGCTTTAGACTATAGAGCGGTCTCTGCGCGAGTTTATGGTAATCAACAATTCACTAATTTCAAACCACAGAGGTAACTCTTCTTAACTCTAAACTAGGGATTTCCTTCCTAATCTACCCTTTTTTATATTTTTTATTTACTTTTCATGCCATTTTCATTTTTTTTCTAACCGCCATCACCATCATATGACTCGCTTTCTATCAATCATAAATTATTAATGCAACATATTCTAGATTTAGTTGATTAATTGTAATTTTAACCCGTTAATCACTTTGATCTGGCATTGACTAAAACAAAGGAGTCAAATGTTAAATATCCAAACAATAGGTATAATACGAAGTTACGAATACGCGTGAATGATAATTAAAAATATAATATTAATATAAAATAAGATCATTGAATATATCGATTCTTGAATGTAGGAAGAAAGACAAAAGACTTCTTCAAAAGCCGCAGTTCGCACCCAAGACAACCAAACACGCCATTTCCATATCCTATAAATAAATTATGATTTTATATCATATAATTTCCAATGTCAATAATTATAACAAATATGTTTTGGATAATTTATTTGATCACTTTAACACCTGCCGTCAATATGGACATGCTGATTGATGGAATTCAATTATTTTAATTCCTTTTGATTATGACTCTCATCTTCTATTCACAACAATCAAATATCTTATCTTTAATCATATATTTCAACACACACTTTATCACTGCTTCGCACAAACAACACATAGTTTCTCAAACAATGAAATCAGAATTTATTATCAACCCTCCACAAATTCTTAAGTTACAGCTTCACTGGTACAACAGCGTCAAAAAGAATTATAATCTGGAAAAATTCCTAATTTTTTTTCCCTTCTTGGACTTTACCCACTGTGCCTGCACATTGCTTTAACAAATTACATTCATACAAGGATGCTGCAGGCAGAGAGATTCAACACCCAATATATTAATGAGCTACTGTCAAGGCCGTGGTATAAATGCATACTCAAATCTTTCTTTCTTTCTTTTTTTTTTTTTTTTTTTTTCTTTTTTTTTTTTTTTAAAAGGAAAAACAAGAACTACAATGTAAAGCACTTCAAACAGTCTTCACAGCAGTAAAGGAAATAAGCTTACAAACGCTCTGTTAAATTCAGGAATAAAATTTAAAGATGGGTTTACTGTACTTATGGGCCATCTAGCATTTTAAACATTTTCACTTTCAAATCAATTGTACTACTTTTGGAACTACCCTGCTTTACCTCACTTGATAGGGCCTTTCATACTTCAACAGAAGCATGTGATCACTGCGAATACCACAACAGATGGACAAGAGGACATCTCAACGCAATTGCACCTAGCAACTCCTGTGTCAGGGCTTGTGGAGCTTGAAGCCAAAAACTCTTGGGACATAACTCTGCGTTGCCTTTTGTGGCTTTAAGTGTCCATATGTCATCAGAAATAGGTGAGGAAACGTAGTTCCAAAATATGCACCATCAATATCTTAGTATGTCAAGGAAATTCCATCATGCAAACAAAACACAGAAATATTAACAAAAGCACGTAAGCACGTGCTGTGCAAAGTAATATGACTTAAAACAGAAAGTTGCAATAGTAATCATTGCGCAAACCACTCAAAACTAAGAGGAATAGGAATTTTAAAAATGGCACCAGCAAACCAGGTCTAGTGGCTACTACTAAACTAATAATGTCAACAGAGAACAGAACCCTTAATCATAAGAATTACAGTAACTCTGCCAAACTTCAATTTGAAAAAAACTCATTAGTAAGAAGAAAGATTCATAGTAAGAGAATTCAAAGTAACCAGATGCAAGATAAATGTAATTTAACCTGTAAGGTAAAAGCAATCGAAACAGTTTAAGGATACTGCCTTGGTACTTTGATCGAGGATAGTATATATCTTCACATTTTGGACAGTATATTTTAACAGTACTGGACCGAGGAATGTCTGATTGACCAACAGGAAGGCACGGTTGTCCACAGCAGTAAACTCTAGGGCATCTCCCAAAATCATAGTTTTTGTACTTCTCTAACTGCAAGCGAAACAACATTTTAACCAAAAAAGGAAAATATGATTTAAGAAAAAAAGCAACAATAAAACCAATCTAACTCAGAATTTTACCATTGCAGACATTCCCTTGCTGGTCAGAACATATCGGACATGAATGAGACCATACAGCATCTCTGCAGCTGATTCCACCAATTCATTCTGTTCTTCTGTGAACATATCACCTGAAAAGGTCCACCACACGAAAAACAGAAAGTAAGGGTTTTAGCAAATATCAGATCAGTGAAAGGGTAAAAGTACGGTGGAAGGGAGAAGAAAGAGAGATAACAATGATAGCATAGACACAAAAGAGATTATAAATTAACACCTTTCATACCCTATGTATGGATCATGAACTACGTCAAGTCATCTAATGCCATTTCACACTAATTATCACAATATTCACGTTGAACATAACCATGCACAATAAACTAGGTCTACTTATACAATATTCTAGCAATTTCTGGTGTCAAAGGTACCAAATGAAACTTTAGCAGAGGTCATAAATGGCTGCAACAGCCCAAGAAAAAAAAGCTTGACATCAAGAGCACTGATGAGGAGAAATGTCTGACATTGATCGATTTCAAAACAACTCTCCAGCATTATTTTCCTCTTTAACACATGATTCTCAAACACAGAAGTACAATATTATGTGGAAATTAAGAAAACACTAGATAAGGAATCCGACTTAAAAAATTGAACAATATTTTGATACAGCATCAAGGGCACTCAAGGAAAATGCTCACCATGAGAAGATTCAACATCCAATATTAGATCAAGAGCATAATCATAGTATGGAACTTGGCTGCTCAGTCCACAGAGATTAAAATCATCTTGGATGTATTCATCATCGACTTCACAGAAAAATTCATTTCCTCTCAAATTACAAAACCATGTGATCCAAGATGTGTCATCTCCATCTGAACCACTAACATCTGACTCTTCACTGTCTGTTTCAGATTCCTCTGCAGTCAATGCAAAGAAGCACATGATCAGCAGAAAAGTCAGACAAAGACTTCCAAAAGTGTAGGTGAAAAAACTATCACATAGCTTGGGGACTATATGATAAGAATACATCATAATATGCTGACCAGATTAGCAACAACAGGCTAAAATCTTATTATTATCAATGATAATACAAGCTGCAACTAAGTAGAGCATGTCAAAGGCAGAGAATTGTCAGATATGACAAGCATCCAACATGGTAACCCTGGGAAATGTAAATGTTTTCTTCTTTAGCAGACTTGCATGGAACTGTTTGACGTACAGCATCTAAATTATCACAGTTGAACAATTAATCTAATACCTGAATAAACCAAAGATATAGATGATAAAAACTTCCAGATATAAGAATGATAGCCCGTTAAGATGGCTGTCACTAAATGCCAAAGTAGTCTTAAGAGGTGAGTCAGTACTGAATCACCATCTCACCTATTTATATCTTCTAATTAGCTGTAACGGATATCACAGTAATTAATGGGATTTCAGTACATTTTCCTTTCAATCTAACCATGTTTCCCATAAATGTCAGATTATTCTATCGGCCATTTATCCAAGTACTACAAGTCAAAATGCTCTATTTGAAGGGTCTAGAAAGATATGCCAGTTGTACTCTTTAAAATTTCAAAAAGCTAAATAAACCTCATAAAACCGTGTCTCGGGACCTCAATCAATCTAAGATAGCCATTTTCTCCTCTAAAACAAAACCAGTGAGATAGTCCATAATCCCAGATCCCATGTAAAAATAAACCTCATAAAACAAAACACTTAAGCAGACAATTAGCGGACGCCAAACACAATATTCAAGTAACCAATCACCCTTTAAAAAGGAACCGCTAAAAAGAAATCAAGAAAAGAAAAGTTAAGGAGTGAGTACAACTAAACTAACCATCTGAGCACTTGTTCTTGGCAATCGAAGCAGAGCGAGAATCGCGATGATCGAGCTGCGATTTACCGGTGGAAGTAGAGGGTACGGACAATCTGTCCTTATCCTTAGAACTCAAGGCCCTGGAAGTAGAAGGGGAAGACTTCTCTAGGTGCTTATCCAGCGCATCATTAATACGCTTTCGATCCAAAGATCCACCTACTATCTCCGATTTCGCCCCACCTCCTCGATCTCTATACATAACTCCCCCAATTCTTTTGCTTTAATTTTGAAAACCCTAACTAAACGTGTTAATATCAAAGACTCAATCTTCGATACAGAACATAATAATAAACCCTAGATTCGTAAACCGACAACAGGGTTTTCTTCTTTAACAATTATTTAACAGAAGAAACGATGACGTATATAAGATGAAGATGAAGAAGAAATGGTAGATTTGAAACAGAGAAGAAGCAGAGAGGGAGGGAGACGGATAATACTAAGGTGTGTAAGAGAGATAGGGAGAAAACATACACGAGCTCCTCTTAGGTCTCTCTGTCTCTCTTGTTTTGTTCTACTTCCTGTTTTTGTCTTTTTTTTTCCTCCTGATATTTTAATTTCTGATATTCTTATTTAACTTTTTTGTTCCTTCTTGGTTACAAGGGGCCCAAAACTTAGTTTGCCATCATGGCAGCCTATGGATCACGGCTCACAGCTTACGGCCCACAGCCCACCATGGTTACCGTAACCCATGGCTATGAATACAGCTTCATAATTTTTTTCATTAATAAATTGAAGAATCTTATTTATTAACTTGATAATTTAAGAAAAAAAATAATAATAAAATTTTCGCATTGCCTTCTCTGTTATTAATTAATTTCAGGAATCTTATTTATTAACTTGATAACTTAAGAAAATTATATATGGTGGAGTTGAGGGAAGAAGAAGGTAAACAGAGAAAATGGGGATATTGAAGATGATTTTGTCAATTATATTGAGTGGGTTTGTAGCTTTTGTGTTCCATGTCTACCGTGTTTTGGTTGTGAAGCCACAGAGGCTAAGGTCAAAGCTTCAAAACCAAGGGATCAGAGGCCCATCTCCTTCTGTTCTTTTAGGGAATATCTCTGAAATGAGAAGAATGGTTCAAGATCAAGATCAAGCTCAAACTCAATCAACTCAACCTGCTATTTCCCATGACTGCCCTTCCACTGTCTTCCCATATCTTCAGAAGTGGAGAAATGAATATGGTACTCACTTTTCATCTTTAAGTTTCCCTCAATCTTTCTTCTTCTTCAATTTCAATGATCATCTTTAGTTATCAACTATAATTTCTTGATAACTGCAATAATTGAGCCATGTGCAATAGAACAACAATAGTTTTATTTATGTATTGGTTTTGGTATGGTGACCGACAGGCCCAGTGTTTATGTATTCGACTGGAAGCATACAGCTAACATGCGTAACAGATATAGAGATGGCCAAGGAGATAAGCTTATCTACTTCTTTAAGCTTGGGGAAGCCCTCATATCTATCCAAAGATCTTGGGCCTTTAATGGGCCAAGGTATTCTATCCTCATCCGGCCCAATCTGGGCTCACCAACGAAAGATTATTGCTCCTGAATTATACCTTGATAAAGTTAAGGTAAATTTTACTTTCTAATTTATTCCCACTACCTGCCGTTGTAAATGAAATTTACTAATTGTTATTTTAAATGAAATTCCATTTCTGTTTTCCAAGGGCATGGTGAAACTGATGGTCTATGCTACAATTTTGACATTGAAATCTTGGGAGAATAAAATCGAGAATGGTGGAGGCAGTGCAGATATAAAAGTCGATGATGATATGAGAAGCTTGTCTGCTGATATAATTTCCAGAGCTTGTTTTGGAAGTAATTACTCCAAAGGGGAAGACATCTTCTCAAAGCTTAGAACTCTCCAAAAAACAATGTCCAAGGTCGGCATTGGAATTCCTGGCTTAAGGTAAGTACTTTCCAAATACCTAAAAAATTACTCTCTTGTCTAGAATTATATATGTTCCTGTAACTCATTCATATCATGGTTAATGATATATATATATATATATATATCAAAGGTATTTGCCCATCAAAATCAACAGAGATATATGGAAACTAGAGAAAGAGATTCACTCCATGATATTAGAGGTGGTAAGTGAACGTGTGAAGGGTCCATATGAGAAGGATCTTTTACAAATGATACTTGAGGGTGCTCAAAATTACGTTGATGACAGCAAATTAAACATGGTTTCTCAAGACAAGTTTATAGTGGATAATTGTAAGAATATTTACTTTGCTGGCCATGAAACCACTGCCATCACAGCTTCTTGGAGCTTGATGTTGTTAGCTGCAAATCCGGATTGGCAAGCTCGTGTTCGCGCTGAGGTGCTTCAAATTTGTAAAGATGGCGCCCTTCCAGATGCTGATATGCTTCGAAATATGAAAACTGTATGTTCTCTTATATATCAATTTAGAATCTCCTTTAAAATAATCAAGCTGCCGCCAAATAGTTGAAGTGTTTGTATTTATATATATTTGCAGCTTACCATGGTTATTCAAGAAACATTACGATTATACCCACCTGCAGTGTTTGTGGTAAGAGAGGCCTTGGAGGATATAAAATTCAAAGAAATTGTGATACCAAAAGGAATGAACATTCAAATTCCCATCCCAATGTTGCAACAGAACACTGAACTGTGGGGGCCTGATGCACACGAGTTCAATCCCGAAAGATTTGGCAAAGGAATTCTTAGGGCTTGCAAATTTCCACAAGCTTACATTCCTTTTGGAGCGGGGTCTCGCACCTGCGTAGGCCAAAACTTTGCAATGATAGAACTCAAGGTTATTCTGTCTCTCATTCTATCAAAGTTTTGCTTTTCGCTCTCTCCAGCATACCATCACTCACCTGCCCATAGGTTGGTTCTAGAACCAGGAAATGGCGTTCGTCTTATCGTCACACCCCTGTGAACAGTATTTAACTATTTAGTTTCGTCTTTATTAGATTAATAAATTGCAACTTTGCTTGATTGGTTAAATGAAATGTGGTGTGGAAATGATTCAAATATTTGCTGGTTTACTCAACATATGTGAGAATTTTTTATTTGTTGATAAATTTCAGATTACAATCTTTTGGGAATATACCTCCAACTTGCACAAGGGAGTTTTTGGATTGCGTATCCAATTAATTACATTTGGTTATAGTCGATTTTTTTTACTTGTGGAAGTATCGGGTGCGTTTGGTTTATTATTTTGGATAGGATTTTTGGGATAGTATTGGATAATTGAATATGAGAGTATTACGAGGTAAAATTTAAAAAGTTGTAAAAAAACCCCCTAAGTTTACTAATTTAATAAATACCCCCAACATGTCAAATGACAAAAATATCCTCATCACCTGCAGTGTTAGATTCTAGCCACCATCGTCGAAATCTGGCCGAAAAATCGCGTTACAACACAGACCGGTCGGATCTGTGTCGTAACGCGTCGTTATGGCCTTTTCCGGCCAGATCCACCATGGATCTGACCGGAAAAGGCCAGATCTAAGGCCTGCCGTGGCCGTCAACAACTGAAAAAGGCCAAAACGACGGCCATCTTTGGCCGTCGTTTTGGGTTAACGATTGTCATTTCTTTGGCCGTCGTTCACGGCCAGATCAAGCCTTTTCCGGCCAGATCCGTGGTGGATTTGGCCAGAAAAGGCCAGATCCGTGAACTTTCGATCATTTATGGTAGTCAGGTAGGCCGTTGTACAGATTTCGGCTACCACCGACGGTGGTTGCCGGAATCTGGCAAGTATGGGTCGCGGGGTGTTTTTGATAATTTTTAAACTTTTTTCAGGGTGTATTTGATGAAATTAATAACTTTGTGGGGTCTAAAAGTAATTAAAAATAGGATAATATTTCTGGAATAATGTACCAAATATTTTTTGCAGAATAGGATTGAGAATAGGGATAAAATAATAAGCTAAACATGGCCATCAATATTGTTCTTCATAAACCAAATGACTATTTTCTTCAATTATTGATGAATTAAAACAATTTTAACCCCATTTTTAAATCCCAAAAGGAAGAAAAGAGAAATTAAAAAGACCAGCCACCTCGTATCAAGTATCAAATTCTGAAAGATGATGATTACGATTATTTTGGATATGATTTTGGGTTGTTGAATAGGGGAGTATTACCAGATAAAATTTAAAAATTTCTAAAAAAACCCCTTAGGTTTACTAATTTAACTAAACACCCCAATATATAAAAATTTTGTAAAATGACAAAAACACTCCCACCACCCGCAGTGTCAGATTCGGCCACCACCGCTGGAATCTGACCAGAAAATTGCGTTACGATACAGACCGGTCGGATCTGTGTCATAACGTGTCAATATGACATTTTCCGTCCAAATCCATCATAGATCTTGTCAGAAAAAGCTAGATGTGGCTGTCGATGGCCGCAAAAGTCCAGCGACGGCCAAAGATATGGCCATCATTGTCGGTCAACGATGGTTATTTCTTTGGTCGTCGCTGACGGCCAGATCAGTGAACTACCGGCCTTTTCCGGTCGTGGTGTAGGCCATTATAACAGATTTTGGCTACCACCGACGGTGGTTGCTAGAATCTGACAAGTATGGGTTTAGGGGGGTGTTTTTGTTACTTTTTAAACTTTTTTTTCTAGAGGTATTTAATGAAATTCATAAACTTAAGAGGTCTAAAAGTAATTAAAAAAATACAATAATATTTCTCAAATAATATGCCAAACAATATTTGTGAAATAGGATTGAGAATATGAAACCAAATACACCCGATATGACCTAAGAAAATATGTGGAAAAATAGAAGTTTACATGTGGATTGTGGAAAACATGTCAAGGTTTTTATTGCTGCGGGAGACTTGATATCTATATATAGTAAAACATCTCTATATTGATACTTTATATAAGATTAAATTCTACATAGTCATACAAAATTTAATTCCCAATTTGGGATAGTTATAAATAAGAATAAATTATACATTGTAATAAGTTATAATTTTTCTAATTCTTGTCTTAAAAAAAACTGCCTCCACATAATAATAATTATCTATATATTACAATATATGCTATATTACATTAAAGGTTTAAGATGAAATAAAATATTTATCTAAAGTTGTTTGAGATAATGATTTATGTTTTAGAGTTGTTATTACATCTTTTAATTTGCAGGTAGATTACTTGCTAGCATGAACATCTTTTTGTTGAATCCAAATATTTCTAATTTCTCAAGTATGTTTAGAGCTTATTGGCACAAATTTTTTTGTATTTCCTTACTACCATCCTCATGATTATTTACTTTATCTTCTTTTTTAATCGTAATAATGATTTATTCTTTAGTTAAAGCATATACGACTTCTTCCTCATTTGGATAATCAAGATAAACATTAATATCAATTCGATTAGTGTATTGAAGTTGTCGAATCCGATCACTTAATTCTACAATGATTCTTTTATTCTTCTCATTCACTTCCTTTGTAACTTGCAATTCATCGATATTGAAGGTCCTAATTTTGCAATCCTTAAAACTATTGACAATTATCTGTGGCTTCACATCAATTA